TTATTGAGGGATTCTCACGGATGGTACTACCTTTGACACGGTTAACCTGTAAAGGAAACTCATTTGTGTGGACCCAAGAATGTGAAGTGAATTTTCAGGAGTTGTAAAGGAAGTTGACTATCGCTCCGGTATTAATATTGTCTGATCCTACCAGTAAATTTGTACTATACTGTGATGCTTCTAAGTTTAGGTTAGGTTGTGTTTTAATGAAGTTTCGTCAGGTGGTCGCTTATGCTTCTCGGAAGTTAAAACCGCATGAGGAGAACTATCCGACACACGATCTTGAGTTAGCAGCCGTAGTGTTCGCATTGAAAATCTGGCGACACTTTCTATATGGGGCTGACTTTATTGTCTACAGTGACCACAAAAGTTTGAAATATCTGTTTGATCAGAAAGAGCTGAATATGAGGTAGCGCCGATGGGTGGAATTTCTGAAGGATTATGATTTTGAATTGCAATATCACCTTGGTAAAGCCAATGTAATAGCCGATGCTTTAAGCAGAAAGGCGCTCGGTATGGCCAATTTGATGATTTCTGAGTATAATTTGATTGAGAAGTTCAGGGATCTCCGCATTCCTGTGAATACAGAAGATAGTCCGCATTTATCGACTACTACGGTAGTCCAGAACTCGTTAGTTGAGCGGATCAAAGAAGCTCAATTGCTTGATGAAGAGATTCAGTCTATGAAAGAACAGGACTTTGTGTCCACGGATAGGTTCAGTCTTAAGTTTTATAAAGATCATATCATTGTTCTGAAAGGTTAGATGGTAGATAAGGTATTGGCTGAGGGCCATACGGGTAAGTACACTATCCATCCTGGTGCTACCAAGATGTACCAAGACTTGAAGCAAAATTTCTGGTGGTCGGGCATGAAGAAAGATATTGCTCTATTTGTGAATAAGTGTTTGACATGTCAGAAAGTTAAGATTGAGCATTAGAGACCTTCTGGATTACTACAGCCCTTGGATATTCCAGAATGGAAATGGTTCAGTATTTCTATGGATTTCGTAGTGGCATTACCGAGAACTCAGGCTGGTTTTGATTCTATATGGGTAGTTGTTGACAGATTGACAAAGTTTGCACATTTCATACCAATCAAAACGAGTTTCTCCACAGAGCAGTTGGCTCGATTATATGTAAGAGAGATTGTGAAACTTCATGGTGTTCCTGAAAGTATCATTAATGATCGGGACCCTAAATTCACTTCTCGACTTTGGGATGCAGTGTAACAGTAATTTGGTACGCAATTGAGACTGAGTACGGCTTATCATCCCCAGACTGATGGTCAGACTGAGAGGACTATTCAGACCCTGGAAGACATGTTGAGGGCTTGTGCCTTAGAACAGGGGACTGCGTGGGATAAGTATCTTCCTCTGGTGGAATTTTCCTACAATAATAGTTATCATGCCGGTTTGGGCATGGCTCCCTATGAGGCTTTGTATGGCCGTAGGTGCAGGGCGCCTACTTGTTGGGCAGAAATTGGTGAGAGACAGTTATTTGGGCCTGATATGGTCCAAGAGACTACCGATCAGATTATGATGATTAAGGATCGATTGAAAAAAGCACAGAGCCACCAAAAGAGTTATTATGACGCAGAGCATCGACCCCTTGAATTTTCTGAAGGGGATCATGTGTTTATCCGTTTGTCTCTGACTACGGGTGTTGGACGTGCTATAGGAGTGAGGAAGTTGAGTCCTAGGTTCATTGGGCCCTACCAGATTATAAAGAGGGTCGGACGTGTGGCATACCAGCTTGCCTTACCTCCACATCTGTCAAATATGCATAGTGTTTTTCACATCAGTCAGCTTCGCAAATACGTATCTGATGTATCCCACATTGTCCAGCGGGACGATATTGAGGTAAAGAAAGATTTGAAATTTGTTGTGGGACCACATGCATAAGTGTGTTAAATTAAGTAAAAGACCTAATTAAATAAATTAAGGTTACTTTTGAGGTAAAAAGTACAGTTAGTGATATTTTTGTGATAAAAATGTTTGTAGAAAAATTTACCCAGAATGAAAAAGTTAGGTTAAAAATATGACTGGAAAAATATTCTAGTTTATTGGGTAAAGTTTGGTATTGAATGGAGGTGTGTAGATAGATAAGTTGTTACCCAGTTAAAGTAACTTAACCTATTTGACTCTAAAGCACAGTAACCTCATTCATTTGTTCTCCGTCCCAGTACGCGTCTGTCTCCTTTGTTTTTCATGCTAGGTTTCCTTTTCTTTTCTTTTTCTTTGATTTCTCCCTCCACACTCAACCAGATCACAAAGTCCATTACACAAAACTCATAGGAAATCACCCAAGGAATCCATTCCACCACTCTATTTGGGCTGATTTTTCTTGTGGAGAAAGTTCTTCCCTTTCCCCTTTTCGGTTTACTATTCATCAAGTGAGGGAATTGGGATTTTTTATGGAGCTTTGCTTGGAGGTTGCTCTCTAGGTTTTGTACAAGTGATTGGAGGTAATAAACCCCTATTTCTATGGTTTTATTCTGTGATTTAAGTCTTGAAAGTTTTGAGCATATTTTGGTGGGAAAACCTTGAGTTTAAACATTGGAATTGATGATGGATTATTGATGTTTTGGATATAGGAATGGAAAATAAGCATTTGTATGTATGTAAAAATTGGAAAAACAATCCCATGTCCTTCCCCTCTATGTTTCGGCCATCATAGGTGATGAGGGGGTAGTGTGCAAAATTTTATTGTATGTTTTGGGAAGAGTAATATGTTGGAGTAGGTGGAAAGTTAATGAATTAGTGAAAATACCTAAGTGAGAAAAATACTATGGTGTTTTGCACCTATTTTCTGCCATAATGGGCTTTTGAGGAGTTTAATGTTCAAAATTTAATTAGACATTGTGGTTATATATATATATATATATATATATATATATATATATATATATATATACATGTATGTGTAACTTGAAAAATTAAGTGAAGGAAATAAATTGAAAAAGAAAAGAACCCTTTGAGATTCCCTTATAGATTTCGACCTATAGGGTGATTTAGTGGTAGATTTTTAGTTACATTTTATTTTAATAAAATGTGTAGTTTTCCAATGTATGAAATTGATGAGTTAAAGAAGTGAAATCACTTAAAAATTGTTAAAAGAAATCTTAGTTCCCTCTATGTGTACCCACGACCTTAAGGAGAAAAAAATGGCATGAATAATGTTAAAAATTCTCATGTGGATACTTAGTTAATTTAGGAAACGCTAACGATTATTAAATGGTCTTGACTTGTGTACTGGCATAGGATTGGCAAAAACGTAAAGAAACGAAAGTAAGCGGTAAAATGTATGCCTTATGTGAAAATCTAGGCATGGTAGCACTTTATTGAATGTTGTTTTGGATTCTTTCTCTAGGTGTGCCTAGGGATTGAGTGGGCTTGAATTTCTGTGGGAGCTACATAAGTAACTTGCGCGACAAGTAAGCGAATTGGTAAAGCTTCAAGAGGTAAGCTCTATGTTTAAGGAGTTTTTTTCTGCTTGAGTGCTCCACCATAGTTAGTGAACTGTGGTTGGATGATATGATTGTTTTGATGCCTTGTATAGATGCATTCATATAGAGCTATTTGATAATATGACATGACTTGTTCTGATATGATTTCTGTATTGATTGTATGGTACACTGATGTCTTCTTGGGGTTTCCCTGAGATTGATGATGTACACCTCTGACATGTTCTGGTTTCGCTTGGGGTCCTCCCTTGGAAACACGTGCGTTAATTTCCGCTTGGGGTCCTCCCTTGAGAATGACGGCGCACGCCTATGATAAGATATGTATATATTATTTGTTCTGTTATGATATATGTTATATGTTGCATTTGTATACTCTGTATCTGACTCTCATGCAGGAGTGAGCCCAGGGGTATGGAGAATTCTCTATAAACCTGGAGCTTATTGAGATTTGTTATCTCACCCCTATTTGGGGACATCATTTCAGGTTCTCAGACTCCCAGTGAGCCTTCACTAGGCAGGGACACGACCCGTGGCTAGAGGTGTTGCGACAGACCATATTTTGAGTAGCTGTAGGCTACTGCTATTTTGGAGTGTATTTATGTTATTTAGTATTTCAGCATTTTGGGGATCATGATGTCTGATCCTTTACTTCGTTTATGGCTTGTATATGTTTTGTACATGTCTTTCAGTTTGATGCATGTACTTTTGTGTATTCAGGCATGTTGATATGACGATGTAGTATTCAGTTATGTTTACGTGTTGGATTGCATGTTGTTAGATGTAGGGGCATGGAGCCCAGTTATGTTATCTCTTGCTAGCAATAAGGTGTTGAGTTTAATTCTTTTTTTTTGTTTTAAGGATAGTTTTGGTATTTTTTAAAAAAATTAACACTGTTAACTTAAACTTGGATGAAAAATCAAGTTAGGGGGGTAAGTGATAAAAATATTTTAAGTAGGGGTGTAAATGATTAATTTTTTTGGAGAGGGGGTAAGTGATTCTGAAGAAACTTATAGGAGGATTTTTAAAGTTTTTCCTATATTATTTTTTGAAAGTTTTGCCTTTATTATGTAATTTTGGGTGTATTTTGATTCTCTCTATTCTAATCATACAGGACTTTTAATTGTCTTACACATAAGGGTTTTATTGATCACATAATTAGCTTTTGATTAAGACTAAAATTCCATTGAATCATGCTTATACAGAGAGAATTCTGTATTTGAATTTGTTTTTCTAAATTCATTTTTAAAACCGTATATCACAAACTTCTTTTATTTTCTTGTTTTTTATTGGTGATTCAAAGTATAATGTTGGTTGGGACTTGGGAGTTTACAAAAAAAAATCCTATTGAATTTAAACCGAATTCCTACCCAAATCGTGTTGTCACTCTAGCGTTACAACTTACAACTGACCAAATTCCACTAGCACGCTCAGAAAATTAACATGATTTTTTTTTTTTTTTTTTCAAAGATTGGAATCGAACTCACGAGAGAAGGGAAATTAAAATCCTCATAGAGAAAATTAAAAATATTAACATGAAGGTTTCAAAGGTTAATTAAATAAATTAAAATCGTGAACATAGGACTGACCAAATCAAGGTACAAAAGAGGGGGAGGGGGGTAATTGAAACCTTCCTAGAGAAAATGTTTTTAAGTGTTTCCAAAACAACTATCAAATCTTACTACGAGAGAAGTCTCAACTTCATCTTGCTTCCAGAAGTGAATGTGTCATACCATTCACAGATAAGTTTTCTGCCATCCTTCTGGCAATTCGTGAATTTTCATTGCCTCTCACATTTAGAAATGCAGGTGGCTTAGGGCAAGGAAGCGCCTTAGTGTCATTGCCTATCATTGATACAACATCAGACATGGTTGGCCTGTCTTGTGGACTTTCTTGAACACATAGAAGTCCTATGTTCACATATCTTAACACTATATGCTTACTAGGGGAATCTTCCAATGCTGGATCCATCATATCCGTTCCCGAATTGCTTGTCCATAGATCCCAAGCCTTCAAGATATTGCAGAAAATGTAGAAAAATATTTCAATCGAAAAGTTTAAACTACAAGCTGAAGGCAGTTTGAGCTATCAACCGAAAAGCTTAAGTGGCGGCAAATTAATAATTTTATATATTATATCTCTATCACAGATAAACCCAAAATTACAATGCTATTATGCATATTTTGGCAAGATTCTATAAGGTTGTACATCCGGTCTAATTAATTCATGCTTTCTAAATGGCTTAAAAAACTTAAATTATGAAATCGATTTTATCCCTGCACATTAAAAATAGTTGAGTGGAATTTAGAAACTTACGTATCCAAGAAGATTGAGGGAGTTTGTTTGATAAAAACCAGTATTCTTCTTGCCACTTACAATCTCTAACAAAAGGATGCCAAAGCTAAACACATCAGATTTTATTGAGAAAAGGCCTTCCAGAGCATATTCAGGGGACATGTAGCCACTGAAAACCATCAACATAGAGTAATTAGCAGTTGATTAATCCTGAGTCCAAAATCTTTACATTAAACTATAGCATCGACGATATTATTTTATTCAACTTACTAAGTCCCTACTATCCGGTTTGTATTTGCTTGAAGTTCATTCTCACCAAATATTCTTGCCATTCCAAAGTCTGATATTTTAGGATTCATGTTGATGTCTAACAATATGTTGCTAGCTTTCAAATCTCGATGAATAATCCGGAACCTGGAATATTGATGAAGGTAAAGGAGACCTTGTGCAATTCCATCAATTATCCGAACTCGTGTTCCCCAATCTAGCATCCTTCTTTTTGTTGCATCTGTTTTGCATTAAAATATGTCACAACCAATATTTGAGTAAAGTTAAATAGTAGGGATAGTTCTGAGATTGCAAAGTACAAACCAAAAAGAAAAAAATCCAAGCTTTTATTAGGCATAAATTCATAAATCAGCATCTTTTCATCTCGATCAATGCAGCAGCCCAAAAGTCTAACAAGATTATTGTGTTGAAGTTTAGCAATTAACAAGGCTTCATTTCTCAACTCCTCCCATCCTTGACCAGATCTTCGAGATAGCCTTTTTACAGCAACCTCATCCCCATTCAATAATTTACCCTGGAATTCATTTTTTACACAAAGTAAAATAGAGGCAGCAGCAAATGGAAACTTGTAAATAAGAGAATATACTACACTAGTTAGTGCTTATTGATTGGACAAAGCTATATTAATAACATTCCAAATAAATATAAGTTCATTCCAATTCAGAAATATTCATAAGAAGAATTTTGGAACATGCCTTGTAAACTGGTCCAAAGCCACCCTCACCAAGTTTATTTGCATCTGAAAAGTTATCAGTTGCTGCTGAAACACTCACGAAACTGAATAATGGCAATTTAACTTCCTTGTTATTAACTTTTGCACCCTTATTTGCTTCAGTAAACTCTGACTCTCTGACTTTCATGCTCATTCCTACTTCAAAATGTAGCAAATCTTCCCCTGGAAAGTGAGATGAATCAGTTGATCTGATAGGTTACCTTATTTTAATGCTTAACTGGTCCTATTCATGAGTTACAATGAGAACTTGTTTCTTTCTTACCTTTCTTACCTTTCCTCCTTTGCCTTCTAGCCCAGTAAGTGATTAGGCACGATATTATAAGCAACGTTGTAAATGAGATCAGTATAACAATTAGAAGTCTATCCCTCCGCCTGTTATCATGCTTGTCAAATGCATTCGGTGGTTTTGTTTCATTCGGTATGTTTGAATCTGCACCGAAGAATTGTCAATTAGTAAAGTGCTTTTCTTTAAACAATGTGGATCATAAACAAAACGAAAGATAACTACATCAAGGTAAAGGAGGTTCCTTCGACTTACCAACGATTTCTGAGGCAGCAAGTCTGAGATAAAAACTTGGATTATCTTTATAAATATCAGCTGAGATGTTCTTTAAAATCAATACTTGGTCCATCCATAATTGGCAGGTAGCGTTAAAATCATAAACATAAGCAACACAAGAACAATTGCTAGAGCAAATACTTTCACATTTTCTTGCAGTATCCGTCTTTAACGTGACTCCATCTGAGCTAGAAGGTAATTCCACCTTACTAAGCTGCAAGAACCCATCATTCCCCTGAACAGTGTCACTGCTTGTGTTGCTGCAGGATAACTCTGTTTTCCTGACACAGCCAGCAGATGAGATCCCTTGCCTCCAAGAATCAACATCAAACGGCTTGAAACCATAAAGACACTCACAAGGATCAAGAGCTTGAGGATTACAAATGGAAAAAGCTCCACAAGAATTGTTTGTTCCACACTTTGATGACTGTAGAGAAACCCAACGTTTATCTTCCTCTGACCAATACTGCAGGTTAAGTTCCCCAGAAACTTCTAGTACCACCCGAGAATTGCTATTAGCTTGCCAAGTGAAATAGTTCATGATGTTTTGTTCCATACCTATTCGGTTAATAACACTCTGAATTGAAACATTGGAATTGTCATCAATCCAGAATACCTTAGAATTAGAACTCTTGTTGATGATTAGACTTGCCTGGCCAAAATCATACTCGAGAGAAAAATCTCCTGGAGAAGGGTCATCTGCACTTGTCCATGATCTCAATGACCAACTGTATCCTAACTCATAATCATGTCCTAAGTTCATTCCAGGCAAAAGGGTATCCGTAGGATTATCAAAACCCTGCCACAAAACTGCTTGATTCGAGTAATTGACCAGTATCAAGTTTCCTGAATCCAAGAGCATAGCGTAAGTACTATCGATATTTGAAATGTTGGTCACTTGGTACGTCATTTTTCCGTCCACGATCACAATATTTCCATCAGACTTAACAGTAAGAACAGCTGAGGAAGTTTGAAAGGCATAATCTCTGTTAGCAACCCAAACAATCTTGTCGTCTGGAACCTTTGTAAACCATACACCTACATAATACTTGGTGGAATTCTCCCTGGTAAAAAAGCCCAGTTCGTAGTTCCCACTGTCAGAAACAATGGTGTCTGAGTTTCCCACTGACTGCCCCATTCGCAGGAATGTTTTGTTGGTAGTTGCATTCACGCAAAACAAACATAGGCAAAACAATATTGGCAAGGAAGTAAGGGCAGAACGCAGTGCCATGTTAGTGCGCAAGACTGATTACCAAAATGGCAAAATCTATCACAATATTGTATGGTTTGCAAGAACCAATCTTAAGAGCTCTTGGACAGGAAAGCTCGAAATGGTGGCCCATTTACAACTGGTGTCAAAATATGTTCTTGGATTGTACGAGGAGACTTTGAAAAGTAAGTCTCCCTTCGCAGTATAATGGTTCAAGCATACTGCAGTAAAATGCAGCCAAGTGTTTTTTGCTAATTGGATGATGGACTTTGTTACGATTGCATCATTAATGCTATCGATCCAACGTCATATCTGCATCATTAGTTGTGTTTGTCATGATCTATCGTGGTTGAATTGTAGATGTTAGAATTCTTACACTCAATCTTGAGCATTGATCCACTTGAATCTAATGGCTCATATTAGTAAAAATTTAGAGCCCTTGGATATAATTAGAATCAACGGTCGAGATTAAGAGTGTAACTTACACTGGTGTAAAATGATCTTAACCCTATATATATATATATATATATATATATATATATATATATATATATATATATATATATATTAAAAAAAAATTGTGCTATATAAAAATGTACAGGTTATATTTACAATTTTCTTTATTTATAAACTCTTACAAACTACACTATCTTCTCCCGAGAGAATACTAATCACATTATCTTCTCCCGAGCGAACATAGTGCAATTTGCATAAATTTGTAACAAAATTTGTAAACGGATCTTTCACCATATAAAAATATATTATCTTCTACTCAAACAATAAATAAAAGAGAGAAAAGAGTTGGAGGTGAGAGAAAAAAATTCTTGTGGGACTCATTACAAAATGTGAGAGTGGAAAATAATATTTTTATGTAACATAAGAAAAGTATTACCTATATATATATATATATATATGGGGGGATTATATTTACAAACTTTTTGTTTACAAACTATATTATGTTCTCCTAGAAGAACATTAGGTTACCCTATGTTGTCCCAGGAGTACATAGTGTAATTTGCAAAAATTTGTAAAAAAAATTTGTAAACGGATCTTTTCTCATATATATACATATATATACATACATATATATATATATATGGAAAAAATATTTCTGCAGCCACTTTAAATAAACTTATCTACCGTTACCCTTTTATAACTATGTTCTCCCGGGAGAACATAGTTATAACACTAAAGTTACTTTTTTTTCTCTCTCCACGTCAGCAGACAAGTTCTGAAAAGTAAATGAGGAGAGAGAAAAAAAAACAACTTTAGTGTTATAATTAAAATGTTTGACATCAAATCTTAATCGTTAATTTCATTAATCTAACTGTTATAATCTATTAGAAATTAATAATTAATTAATAAATATCACATGTAACCCAAATTAATCATCCGGGATCGAGCGACATAATTAGATTGCACGGTTAAACGTAAAATAATAATAATAATAATCATTTTATTGTGACCTTTCTTTTTTTTTGGGTATAAAAGGAGGGCCTAGCCCAGCAAAAACTACAAAGACAGCTGATGCATGTTAAAACTCACATGCTCTATCAGCGAATTCAAACTAAAACTGTTCCACAAGACTTCTATATTTTCAGGTGGAGTTGCATACAATTTTAACTCATCACCCTTGCAAATAAGTCCTAACTTAGCTAAGGAATTAGCTATACTATTACAAGCTCTGGGTATAAACTCCATGGTACAAAACTTAAAAGTCTTAATAGCCTTCCTGATGCTAGCTGTCAAGGATAAAAAACTGCAGTCTTCATTACTAGCTTCTAACAGAGCTATTGCCTTTTTACAGTCACTTCCTAGCCAAACATTGGATACCTTAAGATTTTATGCTATCTTAAGTCCATTAAGTATACCAATAAGCTCAGCTTCCAAAGGAGAACAAGCTCCTATATTGAGGGAAAAACCACTCAACCAGCCACCATTACTTGAGTAAACAAAACCACCACACGCACCTTTGTGAGTAGCCAAATTAACTGCACCATCAACAAAGATTTTCACCCCATCACCAGAATCCATCTTTACATCCCACCTGGAAATTACAGAAGCGGCAGAAACCACAACAGCAGGATCTTCTCTTCCTCTCATCTTCATTTCCTTTAGATAGCACAAAATCCTGAAAACAGGATCCTGAGGCCTCGAGAAAAGCTCCTCATGAATGGTAGAATTCCTCCAAAACCAAATGAACCAACATGTCACAAAGAATAATTCTGTCCATGAATGTTAAAGATGAGAAGAAAAATTCTTATACAAGTTCAACCTGAACCATTCCAGCCCTTCAAATTGTAAGAATTTTTTGGGGATATTGCCAGCAAACCACACTTCCCAAATCCTTCTAGCAGCTGTACAATCTCTAAGCATATGCATTAAGGTCTCCTGGCTCTGTCCACAAGTGGGGCAATGGAACTCACCTCCACCCCACAGGCAAGTGATGCTTCTTACTAGTAACTTATTAAGACAAGCAAGCCATAGAAATACAGCTAGTCTATAGGGTCCCTTCCACTGCCACACTGCAGCCCAAATTTTGTCCTTCTCATGAATAGGTTTCAGCAGCAAACAGTAGGCATTCCTCACTACTGACCTACCCGAGACAACATTTTTCCACTTGAGCATATCCTCACTGCTACCAGAATTAGGGATGCTTAGCTTACTCAACTTATTGCAAGTAGCCAAGTCCAGGAACTTATGCAGATAGTTCCAATTCCAATCTTCAAGATTAAGGTCATACACATCACACACCTTGAGGTTCATATCAGTCATAGGAGGTTTAATCAAAGCCTTTTCCATCATGGAATCCTGCCATCCTCCCCACAAGTCTGTCCAGAATAAAATGGATTTACCATTCCCCATCACCCACTCCAGATTCTGATCTATCCTGGTTCTAGCCGACACAATGTTTTTCCAAAGAACAGAATCATTACTCTTTGCTACCAGACTGCAGTTAGGATCAAGATTCCTCCCATATTTTCCTAGCAATACTTGAACCCATAGGCTGTTCTTCTCCTCAATAATCTTCCAGGCTAGTTTGTGCATAAAAGCCTCATTTTGAATCCTCAAATTGATAATACCCAATCCTCCACACTCCTTTGGTTGACACATCATCTCCCAAGCCACATAATGGGCTTTCCTCTTAGACTCCTTATCCCCCCATATAAAATTCATTTGCATCTTTTCAATATCATTGCAGATATGAATTGGAATCATATTATTCTGCATATGATAGCAAGGAATAGCCGAAATGACACTTTTTGCAAGGGTAATCCTCCCTGCCATAGACAGACATTTGGATTTCCATCCCTGAAGTCTTCCCTGAACTATGGATATGACCTCAGAATAGTGATCCCTCCTTATTCTCCCATGCCTCATCAAAGCACCTAAGTACCTGCCAAGATTCTTAACCACCTTGAAGCCACTAGCATCAACAATTGACTGCACAATTTCCTGCTTAGTATTTCTAGAGAAATATATACAAGATTTTTCAATGCTTACACATTGACCTGACATCTTGGAAAATTTATCAAGACAGTTAATGATGCAACTGAGTTGATCAAGTGAGGCTTCAGCAAACAAAATAATATCATCAGCAAACATTATATGTGAAATGTGGGAGCCATACCTACCAGCTCTAATTGGGCACCAAGAATTACCTTCCACTTCATCCAAAATCAGATGTGTTAATTTTTCCATACAAAGAACAAAGATGTAGGGAGATAGGGGATCCCCTTGTCTAATTCCCCTCTGAGCACAGAAACTAGGTATTCTAGCACCATTCCACAACACCTCCAGAGTTGGGCTAGTCACACACCCCATAATAGCTTCCACCAAAAAACTAGGAAGATTCAAGTCCCCCAACACTGATCTTATAAACTTCCAGCTCAGCTTGTCATATGCCTTTTCAAGATCTATCTTGATAGAAAAAAATTCATTTTTACCTTTCAATCTGTGTATAGCGTGAGTGAGCTCTTGGATAATAATTATGTTATCCTGAATGTTTCTCTTAAGCACAAAACTAGCTTGATTGGGGGAAACCAAATCTTCAAGAAAAGGCTTCACTCTATTTGCCAGAATTTTGCTAAACCCTTTATAAATGGAATTACAAAGGGCTATAGGCCAAAACTGTTTCATCAAGCAAGGCCTTTCTACTTTGGGAATTACCACAAGAAGAGTATGATTTATCTCCCCAATCTTATTTGGGAACTTCAAGTAATGTTGCATGCTTCTACAAACTTGGTCTTTAGCATCTCCCAATTCCTTTGGAAGAACAAAGCTGGAAAGCCATCAACTCCAGGAGCTTTTAGAGGAGGCATTTGGAAGAAAGCCTTTTTTACTTCCTCTACAGTTAGCCCTGAATTCAGCATCTCAAGTTGATCCTCCCTCAAATTCGGCCAAGTATTAATAGTTTGGATCCAATTATCACCTTCAGAATCATCCTTGAACAAATTTAGGAAGAAATCTCTTGCAAGGTTAATTAGCTTCCCATCTTCATTCACCCAATTACCTCTTTCATCTTGAAGTTTCAAGATTTTATTTCTTTTCCTGCGAATAATAGTACTAGAGTGATAAAATCTAGAGTTCCTATCTTCATCTCTTATCCACATATCCCTAGACTTTTGGAACCAGATTTGCTCCTCCTTGTCAAGGATATCAGAAAGTTCCTTCTTCAACTTAGCCTCCAACTTTTCTAGTTGGTAGCTATTATAAGAATTGATCCTCCTTTGAATCCCCTCCAATCTAGCTATAATTCTGTTTTTCCTTAAGTGAGTAAATCCAAAGACATTTTTGTTCCAATCCTTCAGAAGAGGAACTATTGAACTCAGATTATCCAGCAGCCCATTAGACTGGATCCAAATAGCTTTCAGAAAAGGGACAAATCTGGAATCATTCTGCCACACAACCATATATCTAAAGGGTCTTTCCCTCCAGCAATTATCATCTCTCACCAATCTGACAAGAATTAGATTATGATCCAAAAATAATCTAGGAAAAACAAGAACATCAGCTTCCTCATAAGTAGCTCTCCAAGCCTCATTCCCCACAGCTCTATCCAGTCTTTTATAAACTCTCTCTAGGTGGAGAAATTTTGGCCCTCTCCATGTAAACCTGTTGCCTCCACCACCCAAATCTATAACTCCAAGAGCATTAAGCATATTAGCAAACTGAAGACATCCACTGCCATCCACAGGACCCCCTCCCCTTTTTTCAGAAGCCAATGCTATCTCATTAAAGTCGCCAGTCACCAACCAAGGATCATCCATGTTCCTGCCAATGCATTTAAGCTCCTCCCAAAGCACTTGTCGATTCATAAAAAGGGGACTAGCATAGACTGCAGTCCAGAAAAACCCTTTCCTCTCAGGGGTTTCTACCCAAACAAGAATAAATTGTTCATGCTTAGATAAAAGAGTGATCTTGACATCACTATTATTCCACAGCAGCCAAATCCCACCAGAAAATCCATGTGCCTCAACAACAATATGATTAGAAAAACCCAAACTACGAAAAATTTTATTAGCTTTGGACCCACTAACTCTAGGTTCAAGAATAGCAGCCATCCCTACATTATGCTTTCTACAAAATCTAGAAAAAGTACTCTTGAACTGTTTTATTGCAGCTCCCCTACAGTTCCAAGTGATACAATTCATATCAAAGGCTAGTTGATATGCAAGTTTTCAAAGCACTTGCTGCTTAAATCATGATTAACAGAAACAACTCCCTTAACTGCAGAAACTTCTTGACTACAACCAATATTACAGTCAACAACCAGAGGATGATTAATAGGAATACCTGAAGATCTATCAATCTCCATACCTGACTGGTTCTCACTTATTTTACTCTCTTTTAGCACATCCAGATTATGAGGCTCCAGTTCTTTCACAAGATCATCAAAATCCACCTTTTCTTCTACAACAAACCCCTCGGGAAGCCCAGCCCTATGCTCTTCCATTGAGGAATCTACTGCCATCATCAGGTCCCCCCAAAGCTTTCCTTTATACTGCTCCCCACTGGTCTGGCTGTGATTACCTCAAGGTTCTACCCCTCCAGCTTACTGGATGCTGAGGTAATAATAGGAGATTGAGACAGAACCCCATTACCTTTGCTGAAATTTTTCTTAGGAACTTGCTTCCTGCTTCAAGACACAGGAGTTTTTCCTCCTGTATTTTTCCTAGGCTGACTTGATGCAGCAGCTGAAAAATTCATCCCACTAGCACTAGACTTGTCCCTCTTCTCTGATCCTTCATTCTCCTTAGACCAGTTATCATGCCTAATAGAGTCTTTGGCTTGTTGACTTGATATGACAGTCACTTGTTTAACTTCTTGGGTAGTCTTAGAAGACCTACCATTCTCCTCTGTTTCCTTCAAGTTGGAAATATCTTCCCCAAATTTTCGAACACTGGCAGCCTCCTTTTTCTGGTAAACTTGCTGGTTTCTTTTTCTTCTCTGGACCACCATCCAAGGACCTATACCTTGAGCGCATTGGTCCTTCATAGGTGGATCAGGTACCCCCTCCTCTTTGGTAGCATGGCACAGCTTAACATAATCTGGGCAAGACTCAGCATTATGCCCATATTTCCCACACTTAAGACATATTAAAAATAAACCTTCGTACTCCACTATTTTCCTGCATCCATCAAGGATGTATTCTCCTCTCAGTGGCTTAGACAAATCCACTTGAATGCACACCCTAGCAAACCTTTCCCTGTCCCCTATTGATGTAGTTCTATCCACTTTCAGTACTTTCCCTATTACATCACCCAATTGATTAAGAAAAGGGAACTCACAGTACTCTTGAGGCACTCCAGGGAGACGAACCCATGCAGCCACCTTGTGGATGTTTGCTTTGTCAGGATCAAAGCATGGTTCCCATTTCCTAGTGGCAAGATAGTGCCCAAGAATGATCCAAGGGCCACCAGTGATAGCCAGGTTAAGATCCTCCAAGGAGCTTAACCTCACCGAGAAGAATTCATTTCCTAGATCCGCCACTGTTATGCTGTCAGCTTTGGCCCAAAGGGATTCAAGCTTCTTCTTCATGAAACCCACTCTGATTCTCCTTCCTAATAACTTGACTATAAGGGCATTTCTCCACCGCTGCCTCATCCTCGCCTTTGCTTCCTTATTACTCCTAATTTCCACTGAGTCATCCTCCTTGTAGATCGTCTAAAGCCCCACACAGAAATTTCACCCAAGCTTGGGTCAAGAGGCTCTAGATCTACGTCTTCTTCCTCGGTCAGCCATGGATTTGAATCCCCTGCTACCCCATTCTCCACGCCAGTAACATCAGCAAATGATCGATGTTTGGCTTTCAAAGGACTTCCAGACTGAAAATCCTTCACTGCTTCCCTCAATCGAACCTCCGACGGAATCTCTTCCCCACTCTTAGTTCTTTTAGTACTCTTCCTTGCCAATGATAACGCCTCATCACTTGATTCAGTAGCTTCCTCCATCACCGTCCACGAAAAAACCAGAAAACCAAAACCCTATCGCAAGAGAAATTTTCGCGCGCGTGAGTCAACGCGCCTAACCTATCGCTCCACAATTATATATACTTGTGACCTTTCTGCTTATAATAGAAACGGTCATCATTTTTCATATAAGGCATTTTTTCGTCTTCCATGTTCTGACTCTAATATAAAGAATTTTTTTATACATAATAATAAGATATGCAGGCAGATCCTGATTTTCGTCTTCCATTTTTCATATAAGGGAAATATAGTTTTATTGTTGCTGTAAAAAAAAATTACAACAACACATAGAAAGCCAAGATATGCAGGCAGATCCTGATTTTTATTTTTCAAAAAAAATATGAATGAGTCCTATTTTTTCTGTGTCAGTTGAAAAAATCTCATATATAATGACTGCAGAAAAAAGGACCCTATAAAGAATTACCACCATGCTTCTTGGTGTCCTAAATCTTATTAACAACATAAATGTTGAGTCTCGTTTTACCTGCAAAACTCTTGCTATACTTGTCTAGGGAAATATAATAATTAATAACCCAAATTAAGCTAACTTAAATGGATAATTAAAATTTTATTGAAAGGCTAAATTATTTGAAAAATTTAATTTTAGTTAGGTCCTAAATTGAGACAAAAGTGCAAATATCAAAATTTTTCTTTAAAAGTATAAATAAGAAAAAATTGTTAAGACTTCGATGCATACGGAAAAAAAAATTGTTCAGACTTCGAATAAATCTTGTGGGATTCATTTCACATGAGTTTTATAAGTCCTATCTGTATAACCATTGATGTGAGTCTAGCATATGATGCTTTCTAACTTAAAAGAAGCAAGGAATTAATCATAAATGTGTGAAAATAGTCATTAAATGCAAGAAATATTGATTATTCCTTCTCAATCATGTTCTCACTCAAATTATGTGTTTTAATACCAGGAAACGCCATAAAAGGGAGCAAAAATGGAGAAGTCAAGTTTCCTGCTGCGCACGACACTCTGGAGTTGGCGTACGGTGCGCGGAACTGGCGCATGGCACTCTGGAGTTGGGGCACGGTGCGCGGAATTGGCGCACGGTGCTCTGGAATTGGCATACGGTGCACCGTTGACAGATTCAGCACTGTTTTCTCATGCGCGATGCGCCAGACTTGGCGCACGGTGCGTGGGCGATATAAATTTTATTCCAAATTAATGTGAATTACGCTAAAAAGGGCCCAATTGGAGGGCAAGTGGGATTAGGTTTTCCTAAAACCTAATAAAAGGATCAGAAACAAAGGGAGGAAGACCCTTTTGGACAATCAGAGAAAAACAACAAAGAGAATGGAGATTCCTTGGAGCTTCTTGGAGATTCACGGATTCGATCGATCAAGACGGAAGATCTTCATCTTCCTTTTCTCTTTTAGGTTCTAAATTCTATTTTCTTTTCTTTTTATTTTGTCAGACATGAATATGTCTAGCTAGTTTCTATAATTGTGGTAAGGGTCACAACCCTTGATGTGAACCCCTTGTACCTTGGTTGAAATTTATGTTTATCTATTTTAATTGAATTTTTCTTTTCTTGTTCTTCATTCTATAATTCTATTGGAACTGATCAATCTAGTAGGATTGCGAGGTTTAGGGTTTTCAATAGGGATGTTGGAATTCTAATTCCTGACAAAGAATAAGATAACTGTTCATGTACGCACTAGGGATAGGCTACATGAACCGCGAACGTTAAAGATTCATTGATTCTAAGGGTTAATTCGAAAAGGGATTTCTAAGGGATTAGGATTCTAATAGAGTTAATAAGGTTAAAGTCACTAAGGGATTAGGGCTTAACTAATCATATAAAAGATGATGAATCGTTTGATCAATTGAATAGGTAAATGTAAACGTAATCCAAGTTGCAAGGTGGGGATCGGAAATGTGTTTGTTTCTCTTTACCGCAATATTTTCTCAAATATTTTCTCCATCCTTAATCTTTTGTTCTTGCATTCTGAAAGCACTTTTGGAATCATTTACATTTTTCCTTTAATTGTTTTAGTTTATTTTATAAACCACAATTGTTCTCAACCTATTTTGATTTATCCAATAAGAGAGGAATAGTTATAACAACTCAGGTGCCTCAATCCTTGTGAGACAATATTCTTACTCACTTTTTTATTACTTGGTACGATCGGTGCACTTGCCGATTTTACGCAACAAGTTTTTGGCGCCGTTGCCGGGGATTGACTACGCCAAGTTATTTATAACTTTTGATTTTCTTGATTAGATTCTTGTGTTACTAATCTGTTTGCTTTAGTTTATGCGTGGTACAGTTGATCCTAAGACTTTGATCTACGATCCAAAGATAAAAAGGACTGCAAAGAGATTAAGACAACTTACCAGGCAGAGAAGGCAAGCAGAAACTTCTACTCCACAGTTTGAAGTAGAAACAGAGATGGTAGCTCAAGATCCACCAGCAGCTGAGTTGATGGAATCAATTTTGTCCCCTCAATTCACAAGGCCGAACTCGAGTATTGTCAAGCCACCAATTGCTGCTAATAACTATGACATCCAGCCAGCACTCATCACATTGGTGAAGAAAACTTAGTTTGGTGGGGAAGACTATGAAGATCCTCACGACTTCATAGACAGATTTTTAAGAATCTGTGATACAACTAAGCACAACGGAGTGACAAATGATGCGATCAGACTCCGATTGTTCCCGTTTGCTTTGACCGGGAGAGCTCTCAGATGGTTAGACCGACAGGCTCCTAACAGTATCCTCACATGGGATGAGTTAGCAGCCAAGTTCTTTGCTGAGCACTTTTCCATGGAAAAGTACAATAAATTGGTGAAAGAAATCACCAATTTTACCCAACAACTAGGAGAGACCTTATGTGCAGCCTGGACTCGATACCAGGAGTTGATCAGAAAGTGCCCACAATATGACTTGCCAGATACAAAGAAGGTCAGAGTCTTCTATAATGGGATGTTACCAGACTGCAGAATGATTGTCAATGGTGCAGCTGGTGGAACCATTGGAAAGAAGACAACAACTGAAACCTTAGATCTGCTTGATTTAATGGCAAGGAATGAGAATGCGTCTATGGTAGCCCAACCTGTTCAGGCCAAGAAAGGAATCTTACAACTGGGGAATAAAGATGCATCACTGGCTGAGCAAAAGGTGATTTCTCAACAGCTAGCCAGTATGAACGCCAAGTTGGATAAATTGCATATCTCTTCTAAAGTTAATGTATTCAACTGTGAGTACTGCACGGAGCCACATGACACTAATGAGTGCCCTACACTCAACGGAGCTGAACTGCTCCAGTTCAATGGAGTGTGGTATGATCTGAGGCCACCACAGAATACCCAAAATTTCCAGAGGAATCAGAATGGTGGCCAAGGGAGAAACTTTCAGAGGAGAAATCAAGGGGGAGGCTTGGATTATAAATCCAACGATTACCTACAACCTCCTCCTCTTCCACCTAAAGAGCCATCAGAGTTGGAGAAAGCTATGATACAGCTTTCTAAGACCACAAGTAACTTACAAGAGACTATTGATGTCTTTATGAATGAGACAAGAGCCTACCACAAGAACCAAGACGCTTCAATCAGAAACTTGGAGACTCAAATTGTCCAACTTTCAAGACAACTAGCTGAGAGGAGTCAAGAAAAGAGCAATGCAGTGTCAAATGAGCAATGCAATGTCATCACTACAAGGAATGAGGAGCTAGAAAAAGAGAAAGTTGAAGTTTCTACAAGAAAGGATGAACAAGCTCAAAAGGATACAGAAGAAGCAAAGGAACAACCTCTTGTAGTTCAAAAGAAGCAATGGGATTTCTCACGTTTTGAGAAACCTCCATATCCAATGAGGCCCAAGCAAAATGAGCAAAGGAAGCAATTGTCTAAATTTTTAGATATTTTTAAGAAATTACATATTAATATTCCTTTTGCAGACACTCTGGAGCAAATGCCTTCATATGCCAAATTTCTGAAGGAAACATTATCTAAGAAGAGGAAGCTCATAGAGGATGAACCAATTACACTAACAGAGGAGTGCAGTGCAATCTTACAGAAAAGCATGCCTCCAAAGTTGAAGGATCCAGGAAGCTTCAGTATTTCATGCACCATTGGCAAGACGACTATAGAGAGAGTCTTATGCGATCTTGGTGCCAGCATTAATGTGATGCCATTAACCCTGATGAAGAAGCTGGGAATTAATGAAGTGAAGCCAACTAGGATGAATGTTCAACTGACCGACCGCTCAACAAAGCAAGCACATAGTATTGTGGAAGATGTGCTAGTCAAGGTAAACAAATTTCTAATTCCTGTCGATTTTGTTATTCTTGACATTGACGAAGATGCCAATGTGCCTATGATCTTCGGGAGGCCATTCTTGGCAACCTCAGGAGCATTAATCGATGTACCTAAGGGTGAGTTGATAATGTGCGTGGATGGAGAGCAAGTAATATTCAAAGTACTTATAAATGAAGCTCCTTCATTGCCTGCTTCTCAACCTAAGAATCAAGTCAACTACATTGCGGAGAAAAAGGTTGAGGAAGGGAACAAGAAGGAAGTCCATCAACTGCATGAAGAACACAAGCCAAATGTTAAGATGGAAAAGCCCATGAGCAAGAAAAAGCATGTGAAAACTAAGTTTAAAGTTCCTGAAAGCCCTCCTC